TGACACTGATTGGCTGAAACCCATAGTAGCCATGAACGTGGACATTTGGGAGGACGAGTTGATGGCACTGTTCCCATCAAACTCTCCCCAGGGTGGCAGATCAGCTCAATTGTCATGATGGTTCCGAGACATAGCAGCAGAGGAATGGCTCCAGGGCTTGGTTGGATCGCTCAGCGGCGCCATTGGACTGCGGGTGATAGGCCGAGGAGAAGGAGAGCCGAACTCCCAACTCAGTGCAAAAGGCCTTCCAGAATCTAGAGACAAACCTGGCTTCCCCGATCCGAGACTCCTGAGGTGCCGTGTAAGTGGAAGACCTGCCTGGCAAACGCCGAGACCATCTCCTGAGGTGCCGTGTAAGTGGAAGACCTGCCTGGCAAACACCGAGGCAAGCTCCTGAGGTACCGTGTAAGTGGAAGACCTGCCTGGCAAACACCGAGGCAAGCTCCTGAGGTACCGTGTAAGTGGAAGACCTGCCTGGCAAACACCGAGGCAAGCTCCTGAGGTACCGTGTAAGTGGAAGACCTGCCTGGCAAACACCGAGGCAAGCTCCTGAGGTACCGTGTAAGTGGAAGACCTGCCTGGCAAACACCGAGGCAAGCTCCTGAGGTACCGTGTAAGTGGAAGACCTGCCTGGCAAACACCGAGGCAAGCTCCTGAGGTACCGTGTAAGTGGAAGACCTGCCTGGCAAACACCGAGGCAAGCTCCTGAGGTACCGTGTAAGTGGAAGACCTGCCTGGCAAACACCGAGGCAAGCTCCTGAGGTACCGTGTAAGTGGAAGACCTGCCTGGCAAACACCGAGGCAAGCTCCTGAGGTACCGTGTAAGTGGAAGACCTGCCTGGCAAACACCGAGGCAAGCTCCTGAGGTACCGTGTAAGTGGAAGACCTGCCTGGCAAACACCGAGGCAAGCTCCTGAGGTACCGTGTAAGTGGAAGACCTGCCTGGCAAACACCGAGGCAAGCTCCTGAGGTACCGTGTAAGTGGAAGACCTGCCTGGCAAACACCGAGGCAAGCTCCTGAGGTACCGTGTAAGTGGAAGACCTGCCTGGCAAACACCGAGGCAAGCTCCTGAGGTACCGTGTAAGTGGAAGACCTGCCTGGCAAACACCGAGGCAAGCTCCTGAGGTACCGTGTAAGTGGAAGACCTGCCTGGCAAACACCGAGGCAAGCTCCTGAGGTACCGTGTAAGTGGAAGACCTGCCTGGCAAACACCGAGGCAAGCTCCTGAGGTACCGTGTAAGTGGAAGACCTGCCTGGCAAACACCGAGGCAAGCTCCTGAGGTACCGTGTAAGTGGAAGACCTGCCTGGCAAACACCGAGGCAAGCTCCTGAGGTACCGTGTAAGTGGAAGACCTGCCTGGCAAACACCGAGGCAAGCTCCTGAGGTACCGTGTAAGTGGAAGACCTGCCTGGCAAACACCGAGGCAAGCTCCTGAGGTACCGTGTAAGTGGAAGACCTGCCTGGCAAACACCGAGGCAAGCTCCTGAGGTACCGTGTAAGTGGAAGACCTGCCTGGCAAACACCGAGGCAAGCTCCTGAGGTACCGTGTAAGTGGAAGACCTGCCTGGCAAACACCGAGGCAAGCTCCTGAGGTACCGTGTAAGTGGAAGACCTGCCTGGCAAACACCGAGGCAAGCTCCTGAGGTACCGTGTAAGTGGAAGACCTGCCTGGCAAACACCGAGGCAAGCTCCTGAGGTACCGTGTAAGTGGAAGACCTGCCTGGCAAACACCGAGGCAAGCTCCTGAGGTACCGTGTAAGTGGAAGACCTGCCTGGCAAACACCGAGGCAAGCTCCTGAGGTACCGTGTAAGTGGAAGACCTGCCTGGCAAACACCGAGGCAAGCTCCTGAGGTACCGTGTAAGTGGAAGACCTGCCTGGCAAACACCGAGGCAAGCTCCTGAGGTACCGTGTAAGTGGAAGACCTGCCTGGCAAACACCGAGGCAAGCTCCTGAGGTACCGTGTAAGTGGAAGACCTGCCTGGCAAACACCGAGGCAAGCTCCTGAGGTACCGTGTAAGTGGAAGACCTGCCTGGCAAACACCGAGGCAAGCTCCTGAGGTACCGTGTAAGTGGAAGACCTGCCTGGCAAACACCGAGGCAAGCTCCTGAGGTACCGTGTAAGTGGAAGACCTGCCTGGCAAACACCGAGGCAAGCTCCTGAGGTACCGTGTAAGTGGAAGACCTGCCTGGCAAACACCGAGGCAAGCTCCTGAGGTACCGTGTAAGTGGAAGACCTGCCTGGCAAACACCGAGGCAAGCTCCTGAGGTACCGTGTAAGTGGAAGACCTGCCTGGCAAACACCGAGGCAAGCTCCTGAGGTACCGTGTAAGTGGAAGACCTGCCTGGCAAACACCGAGGCAAGCTCCTGAGGTACCGTGTAAGTGGAAGACCTGCCTGGCAAACACCGAGGCAAGCTCCTGAGGTACCGTGTAAGTGGAAGACCTGCCTGGCAAACACCGAGGCAAGCTCCTGAGGTACCGTGTAAGTGGAAGACCTGCCTGGCAAACACCGAGGCAAGCTCCTGAGGTACCGTGTAAGTGGAAGACCTGCCTGGCAAACACCGAGGCAAGCTCCTGAGGTACCGTGTAAGTGGAAGACCTGCCTGGCAAACACCGAGGCAAGCTCCTGAGGTACCGTGTAAGTGGAAGACCTGCCTGGCAAACACCGAGGCAAGCTCCTGAGGTACCGTGTAAGTGGAAGACCTGCCTGGCAAACACCGAGGCAAGCTCCTGAGGTACCGTGTAAGTGGAAGACCTGCCTGGCAAACACCGAGGCAAGCTCCTGAGGTACCGTGTAAGTGGAAGACCTGCCTGGCAAACACCGAGGCAAGCTCCTGAGGT